GTATCATCACAAGACTCAAGATGGTTTTGGGCAGATCGAAGAGTCACGGTGTGATCTCACATCAGGTGATGGCGTTTGCAATGCAGATCCTCCTACGCCGCCAGCTACCATTCCTACCAAGCCGTCAACGGCGGAAGGCTACGAGGCCTCTGGAGTCCTTGATTAACCGCTGACTTGTTAGTTTGCATTGTTACGTCTGTAACCGCTGGCTCTACGCATTGTCCGGGGTTTAGCTGTGCCTTTCTGCGACTTGTACCATCTCGTACAACTCAATTTGAAAGGTTGTTATACGGCTGTAAAATTTGCATTTACAAGTACTATACTACTGTTTCGATTTTCCTTTCCTTGCTTTGTAGGTAATTGCCTTAAATTTTTACGGAATATTATAGAAACCAAACATAATTCTAGGAAAGGCACTAAAAATTCCAAATCACTAAAAAATGGTTTTAGAACCATCATATTATATATCAATTAACTCTAGGTTAATTAATTACACAAATGTTTAAGTTAAATTTTCTTGCTATTTAGTCATTGTTGATGTTGATTGTTGAAAAGAAAATTAATTTCTGTATAATTTTTAGGGACTACAGACAAAATTGAAGTAGTTGAAGAATTAAAGAATCAATTATGGTGGTTGTTAATTGTCTTCATTTATGGATGTATATATCTGACTTTTCGAACTGAAGAGTGAGCATCAACCGCCGGTTCAATGACGGATCCTCCAGAGCATAGCGCCAAAACCCAACAATGTAATACTCATGACGTTTTTAAAATCTTCTCTTTAAAAAATAAAAATAAAGAAGGAAATTTGAGGAATTAAAATGGGTAAAATATGTGAGAAAACAAATTTGCTTTTCAAATATTTTCCTCTCCGAATTATGAATAAAATACTGCAAACTAAATTTGACATCCTTCCTCATATTATTACTCCGTATAAAATTATATACTCCGTATTATTTTTATGTATTTAAAAAATTAAATAATTTATGTCTTTCACTATTCTATTTCGTATGAAATGCTCTATCAATACAATAAATTAAGCTCTTGCACCACGTGGTTGCCAACCAAACTAAATTATTAACTTATTATTACGATGGGTCAATCAATTGATGAATTGTGCTTTAGATACGTTCTATCAACAACATTGGCTATATTTGTGATAGTTATTTAAATTAATTTTAATTCAACAAGTCATTGAGATCTACAAAATTATAATACTTTACTGGTCATCTTCTTTGATAGAAGGAGCCGTGTTGCGGGTCATTGATTCATCGATTTTGTTTTCAGATTTGATTGGATCGTCGTCAAGGAAGAACATTGCGAAAGCTCGACGTCACGAAAGAATGTCGGGAAAGATGACTGAGGAAGAACGTTCCGAAGAAGCGAAGAGAGAAGTCTGGAAAATGACTTTCCCTAAAAAAAAAAAAAAGGGGAGTTGTTTTCAAAAAAATAATGTGATTTTTTTCTATGACCATAATTAATTTTTTATGACTTCAATTTTTAAGTTTGGTCAAACACAAAAAAATATGAAAAATGAAAAATCTTAGAATTCATTTTTTGTGTTTCCAAGCACGTATTTAATGTATTTTTTTTTTTAATATAACATTTGATATAGATTTTTGGTATTTTGGATTGGAAACGGTGTAAATACTTGGAAAAGGACGTCTCACTCTTAAGTCTTAATTGCGTATAACAGACAAGAGGCCTACTTCGATGACTCCATGAACTAAGACCATACGCACTGCTTAACGTGCGACTTCTCATTTCTCTGTCTACAGAAATGGCGATTCCTCTGCAATTCTCTTGTCTAGCAACTCGTACGGCCATCTCATTGCCGCAGCCTCGGATCTTCCAGCTTCGGAAGCCGCTCTCAATCCGGTGCTCCACCGGAGAAGCCGATTCCTCTTCCTCCTCGTCGGCCACCGTTGATTCGGATTTCGATGCTAAGACTTTCCGGAAGAACTTGACTAGAAGCGCCAATTACAATCGCAGGGGTTTTGGACACAAAGAGGCCACTCTTGAGCTCATGAATCGCGAATATACTAGTAAACGTCCCAAAATAGACTCCGTTTTTTTGTTCTTCTAATTTTGTTTTTTGACGATTTCTTGCTCGAGTATATATACTTTCTGCACGGATACTTGATATGAGTAAGTTATAGTTCCTGAGTAGTGCATATTGAAGCTCACAATTAAAATATATGTAGAAATTTCTTACTCCATATATTGATTGATGCTCTAAATAGAGTTTTGCTACTCGGAGACATCTAAGATGGGGTTTGGGGGGAAGGTTAATTTAAATTCTACCGCATTATTCGGTCAATGGTTTTATGCATATATTTGTTTCCTAAATAGTACATACTTTTTGGTCTCTTATTCAATACTTTGCACAATTGTATATGCCTAGAAAATACTGCATAGTTGTTAGAATTGCATCTCATCTTGGTTTGGTCATGCTCGCAATGGTTTTAAAGATCTTCTGTTATTATTTCAGGTGATATTATAAAGAAGTTGAAGGACAATGGCTATGAATATACATGGGGCAATGTTACTGTGAAGCTTGCAGAAGCCTATGGTTTCTGCTGGGGGGTTGAGCGAGCCGTCCAGATTGCATATGAAGCAAGAAAACAATTTCCTACAGAAAACATTTGGCTCACTAATGAGATTATACACAACCCCACAGTGAATAAGGTCTCAAATCTTTCTCATTGTTGATGTTGATCTGTAGTTTACTATTCGGTTGCTCAACTTAATTAGTAAGAAAAATCTTGCGCTTTTTGTGCCACATTTACTTATTTTCTTTCTTTCTACTACTAGTATTATTTAATGGCATTCTGCTGTTTTTCTCTCTTCTCAGAACACTTAGGTTACTACTAATGTTAATGCAAGTTTTTTAATTTCTGATATGTATTTGGTTTCGTTCTGTCCAGCGCCTAGAGGAGATGGAAGTTAAGAATATCCCTGTGAATCAAGGAAATAAAATTTTTGATGTTGTTGACAAGGGTGATGTTGTGGTTTTACCTGCTTTTGGGGCTAGTGTGGATGAGATGTTGACTTTGAGTGAAAAGAATGTACAGATAGTTGATACAACCTGCCCATGGGTGTCGAAGGTATGTCAACCAGGTTGTTATTCCCCTTTGCTATCATTCATTCTTCTACAGTTCTACTCATATAATACATTGTAATTCTTACTAATATTCTATCCAGGTTTGGAATTCTGTTGAAAAGCACAAGAAGGGAGAATATACCTCCATTATCCATGGTAAATATTCTCACGAGGAAACTGTTGCTACTGCATCATTTGCAGGAAAATACATCATTGTGAAGAACATGGCAGAGGTTTGTTTCATCTTACTGCTTAAGCTTCATTACCAAAACACTTTAAGTGCTTATCTTTGCTTTTGGAAGTATTTAGAAGGCACCCAGTAGGAGTATTTCATAAACTGTATATTTCTTCCAGGCAACATATGTTTGTGATTACATTCTTGGGGGTCAGCTTGATGGCTCTAGCTCAACCAAAGAGGCGTTTCTGGAGGTGCAGCCTGGGTTTCTTTCCTTTCCCTGAATCTGTCTGCCTCATGAACTTGTTTCAATTATTACCTTCATGCTACTTTGACATATCTTTTTCCTGCAGAAATTTAAGTATGCAGTTTCCAAAGGTTTTGATCCGGACTCTGATCTCACTAAAGTTGGTATTGCTAACCAAACAACAATGTTGAAAGGAGAAACTGAAGAGATGGGTTAGTCTCTTTCCACATCAGTTACATCTACTGCCAAGTTGTGTATTTGTCCACGGAGTAGAAAACATTCCTAGGTACTGATTTTATGTATTTTATATATAGGCAAGTTAGTTGAGAGGACTATGATGCGCAAATATGGAGTGGAAAATGTCAATAATCACTTCATAAGTTTCAACACTATTTGTGATGCAACTCAAGTAAGTCATCTTTCTTCCTACGCTTTCCTGGCAATTTCTTTCCAATTGCACTTTCATGATAAAATCCTTTAGGAGCGGCAAGATGCCATGTATAAGCTGGTTGAGGAGCAGCTGGATCTTATGTTGGTGATTGGTGGATGGAACTCAAGCAACACTTCACACCTACAGGAGATTGCAGAGGAACGTGGGATTCCATCATATTGGATTGACACTGAGCAGAGAGTAGGTCCTGGAAACAAAATAAGTTACAAGCTAATGGTGAGCACTTTTGGCACTATGATTTTGCAGCTAATTTTGAGCTTCGGATACCTTTCCTTACCCTCTTCTACTCTTGTAAACAGCATGGTGAGTTAGTTGAGAAGGAGAACTTTCTACCAAAAGGCCCCATTACGATTGGGGTAACATCTGGTGCATCCACTCCTGATAAGGTAAAGTCTATTAGAACCACTCTCATCATTATGCTCGTGTATATCTTCTTCCCCAGTTACAATCCAAATTTTTTTTGTGTTCACTATCTTTATTTGATTTTCTTCCATTGCCCCATCCACACAAAAAGAACCGAAAAGAAGCTAAAATACAGACTTTACACTCCAGGTTTTGACTTCTCATTGGGAAGTCATTGCCAATAGTTTACACCATGTTCAGACAACATTTTGATAGCACTGGCTTAATCTTTGGGTGATGTTTGGACGCAGGTTGTTGAAGATGTCCTTGTCAGGGTGTTTGATATAAAGCGCGAGGAAGCCCTGCAAATATCTTAGACTCATTTACACTCTGAGACATGAGCATGTTGCTTTACATTCATTACCAAAGGTTTAGGGCTTTAGGCTGGGAGTATATGTAATGTAATTGCTCTATGCATGGAGTATATATATACACAGGGTAGTTGAGTGGATAATAGGCCTTTGTATTGATTTAATGCCCTTAAAGAATACTCCCAAGAGTATATGCAATGTTCCTCCAGTAACAAATTTCCAGATTGCACATTATTCAATTAAAAACTTAAAACCTCTTGCAAACTCTAATGCTAGAAATTTCTGCTTACAGTTTCCTTTTTCTAAGCAATTCAATATTGTCATTCATACTGCTCTATGATAGCTAGCTATCACATTTGCTCTTCTTCGTTTCCGAGCTGAGCTGCATTGACACGCTGTTCTGCCTTTGCTACCTGCATCAAGTAAGATTACATTCACCATCGTATTATTAGCAAGAAAATTGTTACTGTGAATAATCTCTTCTCACGAACCTACCTCTCTATTCCAGTTGGCCCGGGACATTTTCAGGAGCAAAATGATTGTTTGAAGCAATGCACCAGCTAACATTCCTGTCCAGATTCCCTTCACACCGAGCTTTGCTTTGTAGCCGAGCACGCCTCCTAGAGGAAGGCCGAAAACATAATAGCAAACTACGTTTATAATTGCGACTGAATATTGCCACCCTGCACCAACAGCAACCCCTGCAAAATCACAGCAGAGACATCTTATGTTGGGTGTTCAAGAATGAAATGTGTCAAGCTATGGTGTGATTTTAATCTTGATTTGACTTGCCATGCAGCACAGGTTGGATGCTGTTGAGGAGGATGGTTGCTGCTAAGAAGTATGCCAGCTTGGATGCCTCCTTTATGACCTCAGGTTTATCAGAAAACAGCTTTGGAAATTCGTCTTTTGTTGCAAACACTGCAGCTGTAAATATAATTCCAAAAAAGGTTGATGTGACTACGGCCACCACTACTGCAAATTTTGCTGCTTTTGGACGGCCAGCTCCAAGTAAATTAGAGACGCGCACACTGCAAAACAAGGAAGTTGAAGTATTGTAACACCATTACATGTTTTACTAGGATTATTATAGTTCCACTGATATATGTTTAATGTTCTGGTAACCTGATTGCAGCGTTGAAGCCCAGAGTGATCATCAATGTCCAGAGTTGTAGATTCATGCTGTGGCAGACAGAGCAAAGACAAGAAGGTAAGAATCATAGTCATGTTAATCAAGAGGAAATCGCCGATGGGAGTTCAAACTTGTAGTAAGTCACTTACCAGATAGATATGGCACCTACTGCAATTTCAGGATTCTTTAACCAGCCAACCATGAGGATCACAACGGTGTAATACCACAACTCTAAGCTGCCATTGGTTTACACAATTAATGTAAAACTACATAATATAGGATGAGGTTCTTTTGAGCATTACAATAAGGACTTACCATAACATCACAGCTGAAGCAAGTGACAGCTTCACAAAACCGGAGAGTGATTTGAAAGCTTTCCAGGAAAATCCAGTCCATGCCTTAGGGAAGAAACCAGCCATGACGTAAACAATTTGAGCTACAACCACGAGCCACCAAGTTATATTTCCTACAATGGCAGCACCAATCATTCCTTTTTTGTACTTCGTCACGAATACCCAGTTCAGCACTGCATGAACTGGGATTGCGAGTATGTTGATTACTGTCATGACCCATATTTTACTCTGAGCTTGAAGGAACTTTTGGGCAGGGAAATTCAACGCATAGGCAAACAGTTGAGGAATGGCCCAGGTTGCATACTTCCCCGCAAGTTCTGAAATGTCTTTGCTCTGACGAAGGAGCTTTAGCAGTGGCGATGCGAATACATAGAAAGGTGTTAGCAACAAGGCTGTGGATAGAGTAATAATAAATGATCTTTGCAGGTAGATTCCAAGCATGTCATACTGTCCAGCACCAACAGCTTGGCCGCAGAGGGTCTCTAGCGCACTTCCCATCCCTAGCTAATGCAAGACATCAGGATAACATCCAAGAAAATCAGGATAAAGCATCATTGATTTGTTTTGGTTTGGTTAAGTTTTCACAATTTAACTTTATAAAGTTGTATGCAGGCTGCAGGGAATGTGAAGTAATACCATGACTCCATAAACGAAACCTTCGATGACATTCTGAACAACGGAGACAGCAGCAAGTTCCACAGATCCGAGATGACCCACAAACGCCACCGTGACAAGGCCAATGGAGAACTGAGCCACGGCCGTGAGAATGCATGGTGCCGCTATCTCCCACATCTGCTTGGATTCCACCCAGCTTCTCCTCCCCAGCTTAGTTGGAACCTCCACCTCCTCGGCATAATGCACCTCCCCGGATGATGGCGGCCCGATCTCCAAAGCTCTTGGATCCATTGCCACTAAGCTGTAGGACCTCCTGTCAGTCTCCTCTAATCTCTTCTCGTCTCCTAACACCATAGATGATGATCATAAAAGGTTGTTTAATAATCTACACAGGTTTGTCTGCTTATAGAGTTTAAATTGTAGAAAATGTATAAAAAAAAAGTAATATATTATATATCCACCCACTACCTTAAACAATTGCGCCAAATCTCTGGTTAGCTGTGAGGAGCATGAACGTTCTGCGTTTGATGCATGTTTCCCGGGCCAGAATATAATTATATAATACTCCATAATTAATTATGTGTTTGTTAGGTTGTGCCTGCCATGACGGCAGGGTTTGACTTTGGCTCACAACGACTTTGCATGCATTGCTTTAGTTTGAAGGGAATTATTATTTGCTACATCTCGGGAGATTAGGCGTGCTACGACGGACCTATGTGGCTATCTCGGCGCCACTTATCCTCGGCAAGGTCCTCTATGCCCGTCATGACAAGATCGTTTGAATGCCTATCACGACAAGAGCAGATCCTTTGTGCCCTTATTTGGTAGGCTCCTTTACGCCTATTCTTTGGTAAGGTTTTGAGGTGAAGACCCTTTCCCTGATGTGTGTCTATAGAGATTATTTAGGGTGTGTTTGGTTCGCACATGTGATCGGAATCAGAATGGGTATCAAATGTTATCCCGATCATGATTTTCTTACCCCCAGAGGGAAAGGTACTTCCCTTTTGGGCCGGTTGTGGGCGAGGAGGGAGGGCCGGTTGTGGGCGAGGAGGGATTCGAACCCCCAACACTGTGGTCCGTAGCCACGTGCTCTAATCCCCTGAGCTACAGGCCCCCCGTCTCCACTGGATCTGTTCACGTGAGTATCCTCAAAAAAGGAACCTTTCCTCTCCCCGGCCATTTCGGATGTGAAAGCGCGTTTATCTCTATAAGAACGGCGCGTTCCGAGGTGTGAAGTGGGAGAGAAGGGATGTCATAATTGGGATTTTGAATAAGACGTCCCTTTTCTTTTTCATTTTTTTCGTTTTCATATTGAAAAAGTAATAAGAATGAGAGGTCTTAAGCTTTTTATCATCCTGGCGTCGAGCTATTTTTCCGGTAACGGTAATGAGTTTTGGTGAAAGTATTTAACATGTTTGGTAGTATGGTGGAATGAGAATGGTTACTAATAGTAGTGCTTGAGAATGAATAAGGGAATGAAACCTTTATTTTATTTGGGTATGAGTTTTTCAATTGATGGGGGTATTCGAAACCCATAGTAGTGTTCTAAAAACCTATCAATCAAACAATAATAATCACTTTCATACCCATTCCTATGGACAAAAGCCATCAACCAAACACACCCTTAGACTACTCGCTTCTTGAGCTTTGGTTTGGCAATTCTCATAAATTCTTGGACAACATGCATGGTCCTGGGAAAGATATCATTAGGGGGTACATTGCCCTTGCATATTCAATATAGCACTTGTAAATGGTGGTTGTTAGGAAGTGGTGGTTGTTAGGAAGTGATGGTTAGTAGTGATTCGTGTAAGAACCTGGGAAGAAGAAGAACAAATTGGGCATGTTTTTCATTCCAAAAATTGGGATTATTCACTGAATTAAGAGGAAGGAATCTACACTGCCCACTACATTTTACAATAAAGGGTCGATGCTGGGGTTGACCTCAATAAAACTAACAATATCCATTTCAATGACTAATATCCATTTCAAACTAACAATATACATAAACTCAACGCTATTTTAAAATCAAGAACACAGAGTTTCTAATAATTTACTTCCCACATGTTGCCAAACATGTTCTTTGAATACTAGAAACAGTCCATTCAAAGCCCCAACCAACTTTTTATTTTTTATTTTTTAAGAAAAGAAGGAAAGAAACATTCTTAATTTGTTATGGAAGAATCTGTCCTCGGAAGCAGACAGGCAGTTGCAAGTTGCCAGCCCGGTTGTTGGTCTACAGAAGAAATGTCAACCTCTGCAACTGACACGTAGACGTGCATGGCGTAGATTTACCCAAGTCATATGGTGGTTCTTGTTGAGCAGTCAGGTATTCAACACATTAAGGAAACAACTACTTCCATTGAATCATGCAAAAAAAAAAAAAAAAAAACTACTTCCATTGAAAAGACCCAAAGAAATTAATTGGACAATTGATTTAACTCCAAGATTTTAAGCTTGACTCTTTCTAATATGCCTTTTTAGTTTGAATCAAAGGCCATTCTCATCTATGATTTTTACTTGGTTTTTTTTGTGGGTGCAAATGAAGTTTTTTGTGAGGCCCGCTAGGAGAGAGAAACATCAGAAAACAGTTGCAGTTGTGCGCGTACAACAAACGCACGGCCGGTGTGCGTTATGTCTTCTTTTTTTTTTTTTTTTTTTTTTGGTGTCAGCTTTATCAGTTTGTTGTTTTTTTCCCCCTCTTTTTTCTTCTTCTCTTTCCCTTATCTCTCTTCTATTTGGATCATCAAAAACCGAGCTGATGGTGATGCTCTAAGGACAACTTAGACTAATTTATCTTTTTATAATCTTTTGCTAGTTAAGGTTGCAAAGTGAATTTCACTAACACACTTTCAAGTAGTGATTGTAGGCTTTCTGGGTAATCAAAGAATCAAAGTAACAGAAAAATGATTCAAATGTAATACATCTGTATTTAAACATCATTTTTCTCCTCATCCAATGTATTAATACAAGCATTGAAGGACCAAGAAGAAAAACCCAGAAATTCATCTGCAGGCTGGAAAGCTCTTAAGACAGTAGGGCACCACTATATATTACAAATAAATGAAATAACAGAATATCTATCAATCTATATGTACAAACCATATATACACTTACTTTTTGCTTATATTATACCTCTAATTCTATCTAATCCCTTTTGGATAATCTGTTGGTCTAAACTAGTCTGAGAGATCATCAGACTCTGTGGAAGAAGAAGAAGAAGATCCAAAGATTTCTGCAGGGACTTGATCAAGCAACCGGATTATTTCATCAGGAAATTCGCCCTTGGCACGGTTAGTCTTTCCTCCAACAATCACTGTTGTTCCATCTTGTAAAGCCCAGACCTTTTATTTGATTGGGGAAATGCACAATGCCAAAACACGAAATCGCTGTTAATATGTCTGAAGATAGAATGGATGGTTTGAGCTTTGAAGCAGCAAATAAACTTACCTCTACATTTGACAAGTAGTTGATGCAGTTCATAAGCATTACAGCCCCAATGCCAAAACCGGCATAGACAATTTTCGCTCGATCATCAGTCTGAGTGCAAATCCTTGAATGTAAGCAAAATGGATAAAAAGTAAAAACACTTCTGGCCGAAAACTACTTGAATGTTTTTTTTTTATTTTTATCATTACCTCGAGGTCAACGCCAGGACTACCGATTGTGTCTACTATAACAATTTCTGTTCCATCAGTCTCAATAGGAAGCTGAGAGTTGTGCTGTCCGACTCCTACAACTTTCCCTTCTTTATGGTAGATGGTTACTGACTGTGAATCCGTTGCTACCATTGATCTAGAGTATCAGATAACATGGTAAAGAAGACAAAGGAAATGAGAAGAGACCGAAAAATCAGCTATTTTGATTGATCAAAGTAGTCAGAGAACCTACATTCCCTTGGCATTAGGTGAATCAGCATCATCCTCGGTTTTCTTGACATTGGGCAAATCGGCCTCCTTAACTCCCTTCACATCGGGAGAACTGGCGTCCTCGTTTCCATTCGACGAAGAATTGGAATCCTCAACAGGTACGAATGTAACAACTAGTGTCTTGTCTCCATTGGTCTTTAAGGGTTGTGGTAAACACCTATCTGTTTTGTATATTCTGATGCCACTGCACCTTAAAGGATCATTTACGCTTATTGCTTTCTTTGTTACCTCCTTCCCTTTGAGGTCATGTGATGAAGGATCAGCAAGCAACTGTGAAACCTATAACACAAGAAAGAAGCAACAACTCGACCCGTTAATGTATTATGGTGGCGAGAGGAACTGCTGCCATCCATCTCAGAAGCAACTTGCCCTTACCTCCCCGCTTTGATTGTAATCTGAAGGCGTGGGCAAACCTGCAATTGGATCATGTTCATCACCCACACTGGCCCCGAGAGTTCCTCCAGACATCATCACCAATATCAGTGCTAGATTTACTACAACTGGAGCAATTTGACCTGCCAACCCCTTGAATGCATATAAAGGCCCTTTCAGAAACACCTAGAGATAGATACATACATGGGAAACTATCAATGCAGATCATGAAAAGAATCACAGATTAAATGAACGAAATATGAATGAATATTCTATACCTCGTATCCAGTTCCCATCAAGGTGATTCCCAAATCCTCAACAGAAGTTTTAGGCAGAGTTTCTGCAGATTCCTGCTCACTAATTGGCTTCCTTGAGTTTAAGAATGACCATCTACAGAGTAATCACATGATCGAAAACCGCTAAATTTTTACAAACAGATTCCAAGAAAATGTTAAAAAGATGCATTCAAAAGAGGTCAGTGCATCAAACCAGACCTTCTAGCTACCTTCACAAGTGGAGTCTCTGATTGGTCAGAGCAGTTCATCAATGATGCTCCCAGGAGAGCCAGTGTTCCCAAGAAAACGGGAGATGATGAAAACATCTGGAATTTCTGAATATCGAATCCCGGGACCTCGCCTTGATCAATGATAGTTCCTGCAGCGCACAACAGATAGACCGAAACAATTCATATTATACTGCTAAATATGCAAATCAGAAGAGACCGGTAAAGGGAGGGCAAAACTCAACAAGAAGAAAGACCCCAATTCTCTTATGAGAAGGTTTACATACTATCTTCCTCATTCAAAAAGTGTTAAAGCAAAATTTTTTGTAAACCCCGCATTGTGATCCTATCCGGCAAAGGATCACAAGGAGGTAAACAAGCATAGATTATTCATATATAGTTGACTGGCTCAAACCAAAAAGGCTAATAGGCCAATCCCGTTGGCAGTCGAATTTGTAATACAGCCTGACCAACTTGGTAGGGGTTGCCCATAGAAAGACCATCTTGCAAAGAGTAAAACATGAGTAATAACACCAGCTATGAAGCTATGGTAGCCTTGGCAGCTATGAAGCTCATATGCAATTCTATGATCACAAACACATAATCATGTCCCCATGCAAAGATGCACAGATAAGCATATAAACACAATCCCATGTAGCGAATTTGCCTAAAACAAGGTAGTTGTTGGCAGAAGCAAAGTATGTAGAAATGTAAATTACCCAAAGCCATCAACCCAGCAACAGAAAACATCTGGGCAAAAGCTAGCGGCAGATTCGACAGCCCGGCAAAGACCCTTTTCGGAAACGCCCCAAACAACCCCACCCCACCATCATTACTCCGCCGGACAGCCGGCCGCCGGCGCGCCGGCGCTTGACCGTTTAAGAACGTTTTTCCCTCAAAAAGCGGCGGCGCTCTGTCGGAATCCGGCACCACAACCTTTTTCTTGCCACCCTTCTTCCCTTTTGCTGTCTTAAGGGTACAGGAAAGAGAAAAGGAGAAAGCTTTGCCC